TTGCTGTCCGAAGGTGTCTGTGTAGTGGGAAGCTTAGTTAACCTTCGTGATGATTACTGCGGCGTTCTTGTTACAAACTTCAGCTAAGAGCATCGACATTTTTTCCCTGAACCCTGGAACTGTCATCGCCTACGCCGACCAAGTCGCCAATGTCACCGACTGTTTTGCTGCCGAGGCCATCAGCACTGCTGAAGCACCTCTCCGCAGTCCAACGCTTTCTGGAGCGAACAAGCAGCGTTTGAGCGAGCTGCTGCTGAAATTCGACACATGCTTTATTTATTTTTATTTACAATGCACATGCACGTTCTTCAAAGATACGTCAAATATCCATAACAAAACACCGTATTATCACCTACGACAACGCACACCTCATACGGCAGCAGCCTTATCGTCTTTCTCCAATCGAACGCATTCGATTTAAACACAGGTTAAGGAAATACTTCAGGATGGTGTGATGAAGCGTTTACACTGCCCCTGGTCGTCACCATTTGTTCTTGTGAAAAATAAAGATAGCACACTTCGCTTTTGTGTCGACTACAAGAAGTTGAACAGTGTCACAAAGAAAGACATGTAGCCATTGCCCAGAGTCCATAATTCTCTAGACAGGCTGCGGCGCGCGAAGTATTTTTTCTCCATCGACTTGAGAAGTGGTTATTGGCAAATAGAGAACGACGTACGTGACAGAGAAAAAAACGCTTTTGTAACTCTGGACAGTCTTTACAAATTCATAGTGCTCCCTTTCAGGTTCGGTTCTGCTACAGCCACATTCCAGCGAATGATGGATACCATCCTTGCTGACTTCAAGTGGAAAAGCTGTCTCGTGTAGCTCGATGACATCGTTGTATTTTCGGGAACGTTGGACGAACATATTCGTCGCCTACAGAATGCACTCGAAGCCATTCAATGAGTTGATCTCACACTCAAACCTGAGAAATGTCATTTCGGCTACGGTGAACTAAAGCTTCTTGGTCACATCATAAACGCCGCTGGTGTTCAACCTGATCCTAACGAGACTGCTGCCATCATCGCTTTTCCAGCTCCAACTGACAAAAAAAGTCTTCGATGACTTTTGGGTCTGTGCACATATTACCGGCACTTTATTGAAAATTTCTCCAAGATTGCGAAGCCACTATGACTCCTCACGCGTGATGACACACCACTTCTCTAGGCTGATGAACAGCAGACTGCCCTTGATGAACTACAACACGGGCTATCTTTCCCTCGTGTGCTCGGCCATTTCGATGAAGATAGTGACACAGAAGTAGGCACTGATGCCAGCAATATCGGTCTTGGAGCTATCTTAGTAGTAGGTAATATCCTATGCAAGCCACACTCTTCTCTTACGCAGAATCTAACTATGCCATATCAGAGAAAGAATGCCTCGCAGTCATTTACTTCTACGCTGTCGAAACTGCTAACACCAAATTCCTTTCATAGTGCTGCCCATGAGGATGTTGAGGGTTGGCTAGTCCACTATGACTGTCAAGAACAGCAACAAATTTGGAAGTGACGTTGGGAAAAACAAGCAGCTCGAAACTTGCTGCATATACCTCAAGCAGAAAGCATGCATGAAATTAGCATACTCAGTACTGGACATACCAAAAAAAGGCGCGTAGAAAAGCAAGCAGACCCACGATTAATGCTGGAACCATGTTTGCAGCTTCTGCAAGAGGCAAGCAATATAGTTTTGAATGTTTTCCCTCCTTCAGCCCCACTTTCTGATAATGGCGCCTTAGAATACGGGCGTCATGCACGACAAAAACTATTCGCAAGGTGTGGTTAAGGGCACAAAATTGTTTTAGAGGCTTTCTTCGCCCAATTGATGAAATTTAAATCATGCGAGATGACTGACGTCCTTTTGTACAATGCTGAAAAAAGGTAGGTGTTGTAACGAATAGTTTTCTTACAATGCGAGAATGTTTTCATGTCCAGTACACTGGATTCCAGGATTTAATTGGATTGCATCGTGGCAAACATGCAGAAAAAAAAAAAGGAAACCAGGTGTGAGCATCACGCGACAAACTTGACATCCAGTTATCAAAAATAAAACAGGAGCATGCTGGAAATCCTACTATGAGCATGGGGCACAAGGAGAAAGCGGTGTCAGAGGAAGTTGGCTTGTGGACGGCAAGTGCACTCGCTCTTAGATCGCTATCGCGAAGCCACGACAGCAGTTTTGTGCACGGCACGTGTGGCATAGGGTAGTTCCGTTCTCAATCCACGTGCCTTGGCTGCGCACGTGCCTTCAAGACTACGTTGTTTTATGCAATCTATGATCCTATCTGCCGTGGTATTGTCCACAGCGTTTGTGGAAAGCAGCGTTGCATTGACTGCTCGAGCGTTAGACGCGTGCACACTTTTGGAGTTCTGTCAGTTAGGTCGCTGTCATACATGATTGTGTCAAGAACGACTGCAGTTTCGTCTACACCGGTTGTGGCAATGACAGCCACACGCGCTGTAGAAGACTGTGCGTGCACTGGTCGTGCTCGTACTTCTGAAGCTTCAAGCACGCTGCTCTCGGGCTTCGTTCGACGGTTTTGGTACTGAAGTTCATACAACTTGCCACAATTAGGAATTTTGTGGCCCAATGAACAGAGTGGAGTTTGGCTGAAAAATTTTGCGAATTCGCATCTCTCAGTTTCACATCACTGCGATGAGTTTTCAAAAAGTCTAGATTGACTTGACCTGCATTTTCGTCTATACGGCCAGATCACGCACAGAAACTTCAATTTCCGGGAGATTTTTACGAAGACTGTACAAACGCAAGAAACGGTCAAAATCTGGGAGACTTTGCAGGTATGTATTTAGCGAGATGAGGAAACGCGTCAACTGGCCCGTGTGCACATCAGAACGCAACAGTGTGCAGATGCACAGCGGTAGAACATCCATGATTGAGAAATTGACTATGAACCTGGCGCCCAGGTTTTTGTTTGGACACCGACAAGGCGGCGAGGTCTCAGCGAGAAACTCTTGAGGAGGTACTTTGGACCTCACAAACTACTCAGACGTGTGAGTGAGGTGAACTACGAAGTGGTTCCAGACGGAGGCTCGCCATCGTCCCAGCGCAGGTTACCACACAGTACATGACGTCCGCCTAAAGCCATGCTTTACGCGATGATTCAAATTTTCTTCGTGTGGCAGGGAATTCTTCATACGAACAGTGAATGCCATTTATTTCTGATTGCCGGCCTCAGAACGCATTTTCTGTCGAGTGCCAGTTTGTTTATGTTGCCTACTTTGACCAACTGCTTTGTATGCTTTTTGTTTGAGCATCAGGTCAATACTCTCCTGAGAAGGGGAGTGATGCCACCTGGTGTTTTGTGCCAGTGAACAATGAAGACGAAGACGAGCAACCCACGTCAGCCAGAGACGTCCTTCTTTGTGTCTGAAGTACCACGTCAACAATGTGCAGAAGTTTTACAAAGAGCGCAGCGTCGTTGCCGAACATGCTGAGATGTTGGACCACAAAATAAATTTCAAGGCGACAGCTATCCTTGAAAGCGAGGTGAACTGGAGGAGAAGGTTGTTACTCGATTCGTGGCACATATAGAGGACAGCCCATAATATCAACCGCTCTCTCGGAAGCCTTCCCTCAGTGTATTCACACGGACTGCGCTCCACGGCAAAACGAGAAAGAGAGAGAGGGGTCATTAGCCACCCCGCGAGTGCTTTAAAGACAAAGGCTGCTTGAAAGACAAAGGCTGCTTTAAAGGCTGCTACGTAGCCTCCGCAGTCACCCCTGAGGAAGAAACCAAGTCGGTTCCGAAACGTCGGGTTTCTTCAAAACTTTTGGTTGGCGTCTAAATCATCTCCCAGTTTCATACCCAACCAGACAGACTTCTGTCGAATGTTTACTTTCAATTTTGGCAGTTGTGTCTATTAGTACCTTTATTTGAGCCTCTAGCGTGTGACAATATCAATGTGGTTCCACTCAATCAGCTTTGCATGTCTTAACACTAAGGAAATGATTTCATAACAATCATTAACTTTTTTTGATAGTTTTTAACAATTTTTCGAGAGATAAATATTAGCGTATTTTCGAGTCTTCCGACTTGACTTTAGCCAGGGAAAAGTCCTTGTGCTCCTCGAAAAACTCGCTTTGCATACTTCATTATTGAAACAACTGCGCGAGAAGACAACAAAACTTGGAACTGCTCTCTTTGTCGGCAGGAATGACACAGAAGGAGTGATCAATGAGGCAAGAGCATACGCAGGAAAGCTGTCAGACTGCGCCACCACAACACACTGATACCTTTTCACATAATCTTCCTCCAAGGATGCATACTTACACACCTGCCTCACTGCAGAAAATAGTGCTTCTTTTGCCCTCTCAGCTTCAACACCAATAGGTTCAAGGCTAATATCACAACAGAGAGTGATACTTTGCACATGATTTGCCTTTATGAGTGCTCTGTTTTCATCTCTTCTATCCCCTTTTGTCGTTTGCACTGTTAAGCACTTTCTTCATCTACCATGAATACGTTCATGAGCGCTAAGTCCATGACAATATCAAAGACAAGCAACAACCTGGAGCTGCCGATGTGGATGCCTTGATCTTGAGCAGCATTTCTTGAGAAAATAATGCAGCAGAAGCACTCAGACACGTTTACTGCTTGCAAAACTTGCCAGCTGCAGCTAAATTGGCAAGCAGTAGCAGAAGACAATGACAGACTACTAAGATTATGAAGCGTGGGATCATGGGGCAAGTTGGCAATGTGCCGTAGCCAATCGCGGAGGCCACGCTGCTTTACTAATTTCACTTTTTATCACAAATGAAATATTTTCCATAAAATTTCAGGCAAGATTCAGAAAATCGTAAGCACAGTCGAAATTCGAACATTTTGAGAGAAAATCGGAAGAGTTGGCAAGTATAAAAAGGCCGCTACACTAGCACAAAATGCATTACTGACATGCAGAATTTGTACAGACCTGGCAGTTTTTAATAGTGAAAGCATAAGGAATACATGTGGCTGGAGAGTCTATTTGTGCAAACCACTTACCAACTGTGGTGTAGGGGTATTTGGCCTGGGGGCACTTTCCACAGGTGGTGCAGTGAACTTGAAAGGCACTGGATCAGGAAAAGAGTGCGAAGAACCTTGACAAAATGAAGCTGATGAAATCAGTAATTTACTCTTACCAAAGGTGTGCATATTGAATACCAGTCGAATATTGCCTTTGTAACATTGGTATTTCATTTGAAATCCGTGTATTCTAGAAGTTTCAAATATCCAGGAGACTCGAACATGCAGTTTATATCACTGAAAAGAATTGACTTTGTGCCTTTGCACTAAGAGATCAACCAGCAATTAATACAGCTTCAGTGCGAGTGCTGTGATACTTACGCAAATAAGCATTGCAAGCATGAGATGCTGTAATGAAGGCTACGCACCAAAAAACACGCCGCAGCCCCTTTTCACAGCAAACCCATCGTCACATGGTCGTCGCGTTGATGAAGGAAGGCGTCTCTGTGTCCACAATGAAACTGTTTATTTGACCAAATTTGTGGCTGGTAAACAAAAAGTTGATCATTGATTGATTTGTGGGGTTTAACGTCCCAAAACCACTATATGATTATAAGAGATGCCGTAGTGGAGGGCTCCGGAAATTTCAACCACCTGGGGTTCTTTAACGTGCACCCAAATCTGAGTACACGGGCCTACAACATTTCCGCCTCCATCGGAAATGCAGCCGCCACAGCCGGGATTTGATCCCGCGAAACAAAAAGTCAGACTACAGCGATACATACTGGCACTGATAGTGGCATACAGAGCGTCGGCCGTATATAATCTGATCTGCAGCCAGGCACATCAGTATATATACATGCAGCAGAGACCATTTGAGCGTTATCACTAGTGGCGGTGTTTGTTCGAGAATGAACTCCGCTGTTTGTGTTTAGGTGCTCAAGCTCGAAGTAATATGAAATGGCACAGTTTGCATAAGCCATTGAAGTCATTGTCGGCACGGTCGATAGGCCTGCAATGTAAAACACAGAAAGAAAGAAAGGGGCGTACTATCAACATCTCGATGTGACGTTATTGAGTGTATGCTGGCTTCCACTCTTGAAATATAAAACGTGGTGATATATATAAAGCGGTAATATATATATATATATATATATAAAAGATATACATATTTATATATAAAACATGGTGATATATATATATATATAAAAATATGTAAAGTGGCTACTTGAAATATAAAACATGGTGACAGTTCTTTCAATGCTTCTGGTGTGTAACTGTTCAGTGCAATACCTAATGACTCCAGTGTGAAATGCACTTTTGTTGAGAGTTTAACATGTCATACACGGATGGCATACACGGATGCTGTGGTGGTTTGACCTCTCCACATGTAACTGATGTGCAATAAAACACATGAGCAATCAATGGTTTATGTTACTGTCCCATTAAAAAAACGTGGTTGATCCCTCTATATAGGAATCAGTGTAACACGAAAGTTAAACGTGTCTTTGCAGAGGAAGTTGAGCATTTATTGTGCATTGTTTCAAGAACAGCAACAAATTTGGAAGTGACGTTGGGAAAAACAAGCAGCTCGAAACTTGCTGCATACACCTCAAGCAGAAAGCATGCATGAAATTAGCATACTGAGGACGAGCGCGGACTAACAACTGTCACAAATCTTCCCGTGTCGTGTGTCACCAGCGCGCTCCTTTCATAAACGCAGCCCTGCGTGAGAAGTGCCCTCCATCTTCTCCATAATTACTAGTCTGATAAGCACACGCACATGAGAGACCACGCTCCACGGGACCGTGGGGGAGGCGCTTCGTGGAGGTGGCAACCTTGAGAGCTCGTCGAACACGAGCCCGTCACGCCTTTTTGCCAATGATAACAAAAAGGCGCTAAAGTTTCAAAGCTCTGAGGACTCCCATACCATGTACAGTATACATAAATGGCTTGATGTTAGCGCCGCTTGCTGAGGATAAAGAAGTTAGGGTTCAATTCCGTGTGACAGATGTTTGCCTTTTGATTTTGTCTTTGCAATTTCTTAGTATATAGTTTTCAACATCACTTCCGTAACGGAAGTACGTCAGTGGAGCTGTGGTCGGCCCCGGCAAAGAACACTTTTGTGTTAAAAAGAAAGACACGTGATGCTTAGGCAGTGATTACCCAAGGCACACTAAAGGAATGCCCACTGAAAGCTTCAGCATAAAAAATGCCGCACAAATCCCACCAAGAATTGAAAACTAGAAGCTACTGCCATGAAAATGCTAGACTTTGCCACAAACCGACGACGATGAGGTGTGCCTGTTCATTTTAGGCATGCCCAGAGCACCATGAAGCTGATAAAAGTCCTAGATGATGCCCTCACTTTTCCGGTTTTGCTCAACAACCGGTCAAACAGTGTGGGTCGAACTACCCATTGATCTGGAAAACATGCTGCATAGCTGTCTCCCACTTTCAGGTTCTGAGGCACGAAAATGCTCGCGATATCTTTTTGCTGTGAAGCGAAAACGCTGTACAGGTATGCAACAGCCAAAATGTAATTTGGAGCAATTTTTAGAGCAGCAAAACCCAAATTTGGAGCAGGCTACCGAATAGAATTTTCTTATGAAAGACCAAATTTAGAGCAGTATGATAAAGAAGGCTTACATTTAAAGGAAATATATGTACAAAACATTCAATCCACCTTACTTGTGTATACTGAACATAAGCACTGCTATGAAGGACTGCTATGAAGCACTGCTAAACAATGAAGTCTACATTAGCATTTGCTGTGCCTGCGGAACCCTTTAATACTCTGTGAATTCAAATGTGGCTCTGCCGAGTTGGCAACCTTGGAATTCAGGCGGTTCATAAAACCGAGGAGTAGGGATGGCGAAAGAAAAAAATGGCCCACAAGGTTTTCTTTGGAGGGGCAGCAGAAGTGCCCTTCACTGCTCCAAATGATTGCGAGCAACTCTTTTAGACTCCAGCGATCACACTAGTACTCACAATTATGCGACACATACACGCATGAGTAATTTAACAAAATGTGCTGCGTTCCGTGATTAGCACTAACAGCCCCTTCGATATCGCAAGACACTTTTTCGCTGGACACCAGTGTACTGCGGCAAAGGTGGCTTAAGCAGCGTTCCACGCGGTTTAGAACAAGGCCATGAAATTTTTAAACCGCTACACCACCCCCACCTACACTTTTTTTTTTCTTGACGGTGGGGTTAGGTTCAACGCCCAACTTCTCGGCTTGCTTGCAAGGTGCGTTCGACCAGATAAAGTAACAATGGCTCACGCCCGTTGGCCCGGAGACTGATGTCTATTGCCAGAAAAACAAATTTATGTGTAGCTGCTATGGCAACAAACATGATGGCTGGCAATGACGACATTCACAAAACATCGACTTTGTTGGCGAGCAGAAAAAGCAGCATACGTTCTTAATATGCCATACCCGCGTTTGCTGCCTGGGAAATTCATATTTTCCGCAAATCCCTGGTGGCTGCGGCAATGTTTTTTTTTTCTTTTTTTGCCTTGATAGTTCGTTGACAAACCGATCGGTATCCGCTATGGTCTGCGAACCGATGGGCGCACAGCAATGTTACTTCATCTTATACTTTATCTGGTCGATGGCGATTCACGAGTGTCCTGACCTAATGAGTATATAACATATACCGTGTTTTATGGTTAGGGTCTGCCAATTAGTTCGATTGATGACACAAAGTGGAAGTGGTCAATGTGGCCTCTATTTCTTGCTGTCTGCCAATTAGTTCGATTGATGACACAAAGTGGAAGTGGTCAATGTGGCCTCTATTTCTTGCTAAAATTAACGCACTTTAGATAATCTTGAGGCTAATCGAGCACTTTGATGCAGCGTGGTGCAATTTCAGCAAATTTTGTGGTTCTGGCACAGCTTGGCACAACGAAAGGGAATTGTATCAAATTGGTGCAGCTGTTGCACCCCTGGCTGTAGCAAGGATATTTTTACAGCGCTTTAATATAACCAGTCTTGAGGGGACAGCCTGCCATACACTTTAAAGGCTTCTCCTGTGAGACACATACTCAACGCGATCGTCCTTTGTGATGAGCCTTGGCTTGTCCCAACGCACTCGAATCTTTTGAGGTACACGCCTAAATCGTTTCGGATATCCTTAAACTGCAGGAGAATTTTGAGCAGATTTATAGTGTGTGCACGAAGTGATTGTATAACTTCAATTGGTGCTCCCCACTGCGTTCCGTCTTCTTATGCTGTGTCTTGCTTGGCAAGTCTTATACGTAGCTGGAGGTTGCATTTTTCCGCTATAGCTTGCGCTTGTTGTGAGGACACGTATTCTGCAGCTATTTTTCTGCAGCTCTATCATCCATCTTCTGCAGCTCTATCATCCATCATTTCATCATATTCTGCAGCTCTATCATCCATCTTTTCATCCCTGCCCCTGACAAAGCCTACCTTATTTACTCGTGTAATGAACCTACTCCCCACCGTTGCCTTGAAAAAAAAAAAAAATTGTGATGTATTCATCTTATTTCGGTATGATAGCCAGTGCCGTTGACAATCGAAGCAACGTTAAATCAAGCCATTATATCACAAAATAACAATGCAATAAAAGGCAAAACATAACTGTGCAACCATGCCAAACAGTTTTGAGCAGCGCGAGCGCGGACGACATCAATCAAAATTTGAAAGTCGCGCCTTTTATGGCAAAGTGCCATCTGTTGAATGCAGGAGAAAACTTAGAGTTACTGTATATGCTACCTTTAGGTAGCAGAGTTGTGCATAGGTAAATCATCTTGCCCCCTGAGATGTCCATCTCATGCAGGACAGCAACCCCTTTTGTCAGCAGCACTGGCGTTCACACGGCCGAGTTCACTGGAAGCATCTTGTCGTCCATACAAGAAACCCCACACGAGCCCAGAGCACATCCGCTTGCTCTGTTGCGATGTGGCTTTGATTCGGCGAATATTAAAAAAGAACGAAAGTGAGCTTGTGAGCCGGGAACCTGTAGCAACGCATCGCCATAGGGAGGAGAGTGAGCTGAGACACAAGTGGCGGGTGCATCCGAGCGAGCTCTTGCACCTAACCGTGTTTCCTTCTACATGTAGCGACTGCGGATTCACT